AGGATAATATATGTTCTTACAAATATCTCTTTACTTAGACTGCTAATGTTGCTTGTAAACAATTTTAGGTTATGAACAGTAGTCAATATTATAGAAATGTTACAATATATTTTAATATTACAGTGTTATGTATTACAATATTTTATTCAAATTGTATTTTATTTATTTATTTAAAAGGCTTATACAGCCACCCATCTTTTGTGTCACAACTCTGGGAGGCTCATCGAAATATAATAAACCCAAAAGAAACAATAAAAGACAACAGACAAAATAGCTAAAAGCCAATGTAGGTTGGGCAACTATAGTCCAATATAAGCAAGGGACATCTAACGCTGCTTGGACCACCATATTCTGGACCAATTATAATTTCTGGGTGATCTTCAAGGGCAGCTCTCCATAGAGTGTCTTGCAGTAATCCAGCTGGGAAGAAAAGAAAGCATAAGTGACTACGAGAACAAGGTATAAGTGAGTGAGTGTCCTCAGCCAGGAATGGCACAATTGGTACATAAGATGAATATGTGCAAAGGCCTCCTTAGCCATGGTTGTCACTTACTCCTCAAGCAGAAGTCTTGGAAGACCTCCAAATTGTGCACCATCTCTATCTGAGGAAGTGCTAATCCAACAAGAGTCAGATGACTTATCACCAATTCTGGGGGGAGGGGGGGACAAAAAAGACCAAAGTCATCTGTCTTGCTAAGGTTAAGTCAGCCAGTTATTCCAGTCCTCAGTTTCTAAGCACTGGGCAAACCCTTGAACAACCTTACCTGTCCAACAATATTTACCCTGCCCGACCTCTGCCCCTTGTGCTGTTCAATGACCTCAAGATTTTTCATATAAATATTAATGGCACGGAAAATAATTATCCAAAACTTTTGGATCCAAGGATTGCCTCTTGAGAAGAGGTGAACCACTACCTCCTTCAAAGCAGGAGATATCATCCCTTCTGCAATGAGACATTAACCGCCACTTGGATCCAACTACATACACCACCTCAGAAGACTTTGACCAACCAGAAGGGACCAGAATGGGTGTCCAAACTCACAGTTATGAGGTCCTTTCCCATCTCTTTAGAATCAAATTTTGGTTCAAGCTCTTCCGAGCCATCCAAGTTCAGTTTTTTCTTGATCGGTACCCAAGGACCTACCTGGCCAGAGTCCAACTCTGAGCAAAAGCCAACTATTCTATCTGAGTTGCCAAGAATATTCCTCACAGTAGTTCCACAAAAGTTTCCCACCCCACCCCCTATTTAAAACAGCTCTGTGAATGGCTATGCATGGACACAATAAGAGCGAAGAAGTAAGTTTACTTTGCTGCTCTTGTCACTGTATATACGGTAAGTCCTACGAAAGGCTCTTAGTTTGTTCTTCATTTTTGGCCAGCAGCACTTTAGACATCTTTTTATATCATTTCATCTCTTGAACCTCTAGGGAAAGAAGGAACCACAAAGAATCTGCGTAGGTGCAATACAGTCCAGTATCTATACATGTACTCATTCCAAGCAGCAAACGAGACCTCAGCCAAACCATGTGCCAAAGCTTTGAGAAGAATCCCAAGTTTTCTCTGAAACATCATTGGATCCATCAGTTTTTTGGGTTGGGATAGAGTAGGATGGGAACCTGCTCTTGCAATGAGGGATGGACCCAAAGCCAACCAAAAGGGCATGATCTGGTCATAGCCAAGACCTGATATTAATAACTCCCAACCCAGATTACCACCACCCATGTCCCAAGTATGAACATAAACATGAACAAAGGAAGTAAATACAGATAAATGGGGACAGTAAGACAGGGATGGTAGGCACACTGGTGTGCTTATGCATCTATCTCTGTCCATCCATCCATCCATCCATCCATNAACCATCTTCAAAGAAAAACAAGAAAGTCCAGTTTCCTCTTGAAAAAGCAGCTTTGGGACTGTCTTGTTTTAAATACAAAATTCACAATTGCCATTATCCTTAGGCAGATATTCAGCTCTTCCAGGGGAAGTCAGGTTGAATACAGCTAACCTAGAGAGCTTTTGGAAGAGAGTGCCCCAATTGTTGTTCAAAGGTGTGTGTGGGAAGAGAAAAAATGGTTTTGAGTTAGGTTCTTTCCAGGCAGATGCAAAATTGCTCAGGATTGTTTTTTGTTTTTTTTTTTGAAGAAAGCAAGCAGCAAAAGGCGGATGATGGATGGATGGGTGGGTGGGTGAATGGAGACAGATGACAGACAGACAGATATGCAGTGATGGATTCCTACCGGTTCTGAGTGGTTTGGCCGAACTGATAGTGATATGGTGGCCTGGGTCGCTGGAACCTGCAGCAACCCAGGCCTGCCACACCCCCGAATCAGTTCCCCGGTCTCTTCTGCTGTTGCCAGCATGTTTCTGCACATGCGCAGAACAGTTTTCAGGCAACTGCGCATACATAGCAATATGTGTGCAAAGCACCCTCTCAACAAACCAGTAGTAAATTGGTAAGGAACCCACTACTGCAAACATGCCTATACTTTTTAGAGCAGGTTTAAATGTATAAACGTATAGTTATGTAAGTTTGGAGGGCTGGGAATCTCAATCTATTATTTAATAATCATACACGTGCACCCACTAAGCCTTTGCCTCAAGGACCTCCCATTCTATTCACAAAAAAATTGATTAATAGTTCTTCTTTGGCTGAAATAATGTGCCTGACAACTATTCATGAATCCTTTATTTTTATTCTAGGAAATTTTCAAAGGGATCACAGAAATGATTGTCCTCTGAAACTCCTTTCATTAACTATGTAAACTGTCCCAAAAGACAGCAGAACTCAAAGGCATATTTATAATTGGCCTCAGAGGGAAAATGACTTCTTTGAAAATAGTTTTCTCACAGTTTAACCTTCAGGAATCATCAGATCTGGGCTGTTTTATGCTTAGCAAACACAGTAGAGAAGGCAAAGGTTGGCTTATGAGCACTAAAATCAATAAAATATATTTGGCCTTTCAGATATTTGCAATTAAATATTAACTAATATTACCAGTAAGATATATGCAACCTATTCAAGGCACCCTATGCCTTACTTTCTGTTTAGGAGGTGAAGCTTAATCTACATCAACATGCAAAAATCAGTTGTCCTCAGTTTATGACTATTCACTTAACAAAAGTTTAAATTAATTAAGTAGACTCTAGAAAGAGTGCAGAGAAGACCAACCAGGTTGATTAGGGGACTGGAGACTAAAACATATAAAGAACAGTTACAGGAACTGGGCATGGCTGGTCTAGTGAAGAGAAGGACCAGGGGAGACAGGATAGCAGGGTTCCAATATTTTAGGGGCTGTAACAGAGAGGAGGGGGTCAACCTGTTTTCCAAGGCATCCAAAGGCCAGACAAGGAATAATGAATAGAAACTGATCAAGGAGAGACTCAACCTAGAAATAAAGAGAAATTTTATGACAGTGAGAACAATCAACCAATGGAACAGCTTGCCTTTGCAAGTTGTGGGAGCTTCATCACTGGAGGCTTTCAGGAAGAGACTGGACTGCCATCTGTCAGAAATGGTGTAGGGTCTCCTGCTTGGATGGGGGGTTGGACTAGATGACTCCCCAAATGGCCATAAGTCAAGGACTACCTGTACTAGCCACTCAAAAGCATTTCTCATAAACTTTAGTTACTAAAGAGTCTTCAAATTGCAGGTGTTTCCAGAGAATCGAGTACAAAAAAAGGCTAAAGCTGATCAGTCTAATTTCCTACTCTCTGGATCATCGTATTACGTAAGCTTGCATTACTCTTGCCAGCTGTTTGGCATTTTGTGTGTCATGCAGCTAATTGCTCTCTTTTGTTAATTGTTACAGGAATCTGTGCCAAATCCAGTAACAATTCTAGGTAGCAACAAACCACTTACAGCTTTAGAAGCAGGAAACAAAATATTGTGAATCATCTTTCTGACAAGTCTACACATGCTGGGCAAAGACTGCACCTACAGACAGAGATTTCCCAGGAGAAAGCTTTCATGCAACAGGATGTTTTTGTATCATTGTAATTCAGTTTGTAGAGCGCTTACAAAGGCTAACCACATTGCCAAATTTTCAGCTCCATTCTGTTCTAACTTGCAAGGTAGAATAACAACATACAATAGTAATTATGCATTGGCTCCTGCAATGTATTATTATACATTGGCTTTTCTACCACACGTTATAATACTTCATTGAGGATGATAATGAGGATAAATTATGATTGTCATTACATCAAAAGTCTTCTGACGTCAAAACAAGTCGCCATCCCGGCTAGGATTCAGAGTGCAAGTCCTATCATGTCTGGGCTGACTCTGATGTTCTCATAATTTCTTATAGTGCTTCTTTGACTTCTCAGAAATGACACCTGAGATTCCCAAAGCTGCCAGAAAGTTGGAACTCAAACATGTTTATAAAATGTTAGGAATACTATGAGACACAATACTCATTCCAATATTTCCAGCTTTAGATTTGCATTTTTATTTTAAATAAAAATGGTCCAAGTCACTTAATAATTCATTTTAAAATTATTTGTTCAACCTACAATTCACCTGACTTTCCAAAATTTCATACTTTGTCTTTTATCAGTATTTGAATATTAAGTAACTAGGGCATGCTATCTCCAGATATTTACATTTCTAAATTCCTTCCTTCCTTNTCTATCTATCTATCTATCTATCTATCTATCTATCTATCTATCTATCTATCTATCTATCTATCTATCTATCTATCTATCATCTATCTATCTAATCTTTTTACAGGATACGACTAATTATTTGTGTCCTCAAAAGGAGATCATCTTTCTTTTGCGTTCATTAATGAATGAACTGACAGGAATTAGAGCAAGGAGTAGACAGCGTCTCAGGGCGGAAGTCGAATACGGAGTACTGGCTTGGCCTCAGTACCTACGCGAATTCGATTCCGCATGTGCCTTAGATCCCTGGGAAGGACCGTTCCGCACCGTCTTGCAGAAAAGGAAAAGATCGAAAATCGGGGAGCTAACAGGAAGTGAAAAGTATCTCCTTCTGCAATCGGGGCAAGGCTGGGGGTTGCTTTAGTGCGATCTGACGCTGGAAAAGAGAGACGGGAGTCCCGATCGCTTTAATACCGGAGAGATCGGCTGAAGAAAGCTCGTTGAACTCGGGTTTCTTTCGGTGTGATAACTGGAGATGGAGGAAGGTGAGGTTGTGCGCGCGTTGTGTCTCCCTTTTCATTCCGCCTCGGGCAGCCAGAGACCTGGGCTGGGGGCGGGGGTGATCAACGCTAGTCGGTGATAGAAAGAAAGAGGGAAGCGCAGGAAATTTGCGCTAGAAGGAGGCCCGCTCAGATGCACAGGGCAATTTGGGTATAACCATAGGTTCTATGGCTTTACTGGCATTAGAGTTAGGAGAAGGGCGGAGGAAGGTGGCATTTCTAAAAAATAATTTCGCATACTGTTACAAATCAATAAGATTAGCAGTAACTTCAGCCTCTCTTTTTTTGCAAATAACTTTCAAGCGTCAGCAAATCATTTGGATACCAGTAAACATCCGATATGTTTGTTTTCTGAGCTGCTTTGCTCGTAAAGCTTTGTGAAAAGCAGAGCAGGATGAAAAATAAGTCATACAAAATGTGCATGCGAAAGATCCTCTGTCATTCTGTCAACCACAGTGGAATTTGTGCTTCTGTCTATGGGGAAATGCATCTGTTTTTGTGTGGAAGAAGCATGCAGTGTGGATCTCTTATGCAATATATATGTGAATTCCTTCTCAAAAATACTGTTTCGTTGATTAGAACTACATTAATTATTTTAAGGCTGTATAAAGGAATATAATATGGAAATACTATATAAGAATAGAAACTTTTCCATTCAGCACAATGATAGTTTTATATATGTGCATATTAATATAATATGCACATATATTAATGTAGAAACACTTTTCTCAGCTGTACATAATATAGATCTATTGTGTTCAGTTAAAGATTTAAAAAGCTTCCAGTGTACCAATAAAAGGATGTTTTCCCACCTACAAAACAAAACAACAACAACCCAAGAATCTATTGGTTTCTGGGAATATGTGAATTCAAAGCATAGAGTTTTCAAACTTATCCTCCAAAATTTCCTTCTCTATATCTTAAATAATTGTTTTCAAATTGCAGAAGAAATACTGAGAAGGTTGACTTGCTGTCTTAGTGGTCTGGTATTCCCTACATCTATCTTATTTTTTTCAATTAATCTTTCAAATTATATGGCATAGATGTTATTTAGTAAGCCGTTTATTCTTTCTTTGAACTGAACAGATTTGTTTCATGGAAAAAGTTCTTTTTGTAGAAACGTGTTCAGTCTAAGTATAGATTATCATATTTTTTGTTGCAATAATCATAATTTTCTGTTGCAATCTGCGACAGAACTGTTCTTTCCCATAATCTCAAATGCGGTAAATTTCTTTCATTGTTTAAAATTTGCCTAGTTTGGGAAATTTATCCAAAGCAAGTCTATCCATTTATTTTTGAGTATCTTGCACATGAGCGTATTTAATGTTTAATACTGGAAGGCATATAGACCCTATTCTCTATTTGTGTGTGGTTTTTTCGGGCCTTTGCCTCTGTGAGGCATGTTACATTGGGATTAATTACTCTTGAAATTTAAATGGACTATTCCCGTTTGAAATAGCCAAAGGAATTAGTTTTGAGCAACCTCACTAAAGCTCTTATGATATATTCCACAGCTAAAAGAAAGGGGGAGAAGGGGAATTAGGATTCAACTGTCATGGGTTATCAATACAAATTGTTTGCACTGAACAACTGTTTCTGCATCTCTTTCATAACATCTATGAAACTGTTTAAAGAACATTTCATAACACGTTCTACTTGGTGCAGCGTGTTGTAATTTTTTCAGAATTGCTTAGTTTTGTGACTATTTCCTGCTCAAGGATCATGCATTATTTATAGATGGCAGCTTGATACACCAGTTCAACTCTCAGAATGTTGCTTTTACAGCTCTGCATCTACAGCATGAATTACAATAGAAGATCAACCATTTTTGATCCTCAGTTGTTTAATGATAGCAGTACAGTATGGTCCAGGGGTGGGTTCCTGCCAGTTCTAACCTCTTCTATAGAAGAGGTTCCACAAATCTACTGTGTCATTTAGAACCGATTCCAGCTCCCTTCCCCGCCCGNCCAAAAATAGACAACTGGAGGATTAAGGGCCAAAATTAGGGAGATCAGAGAAGGCAGGACAGAGGGGAATCCAGGAAAAAGCTATCACATGTTGGGGAAAGAACTTTGGGAGATCTGAGAAGGCAGGACAGAGGGGAATCCAGTAGAAAGCTATCGCACGCTGGGGAAAGAGGTTCGGGAGATCGGAGGCGGCAAGACAGAGGGAATCCAGGACAAAGCTATCACACATTGGGGAAAGAACTTTGGGAGAATTGAAAAGGCAGGACAGAGCGGAATCCAGTAGAAAGCTATCACACGCTGGGGAAAGAACTTTGGGAGATCGGAGAAGGCAGGACAGAGATGAATCCAGGAGAAAACTCCTGAGCTTGCCGTTGCTGTCTGGTGGATTGTGCCACTGGACCTCTCCATGCTTCTCCATTCACCACCTCCACTCTCAGGTATGGGACTTGACACCATATTGGGCTAGGATAGTGTGGACAGGCGGGGGGAGCGAGCAATGGAGCTGCTTCCGGATGGGCAGTGGTGAGCAAGTGAGCAACAGGGCCAGGGCAGGCATTCCGGAAGTTACTTCCGGGTCCACCAGTCGAACCTCCTCTCACTGGATTCTCCCGAACCGCTGCGAACTGGCAGAAACCCACCACTGCTAAATGAACCATTGTAAGTTGAGGACTACCTGTACCACTAACTTTCCACCCACCCACCCCATCTTGCCCTCTTTTGTTAACAACCTCTTTCATGAGTAACATTCCATAAATGTTGCCCATCTATCAGAATCCCTATGCTTTCTTTCCACCATTCTTGGCAATTCCACCCTCTATTCAGGAGCTTTTAAATGTTTCTTTCAAACTGTGTTTTTATTTCACTTTCCAAACTGTATTTCTCTTTCCCTTTATATTCATGCATCATGCTGCTGAATTTCAGATTGCAGATCGCAATGTCCATAATATCACAATAAACCAAGTCAAGCCAACCCAACCATATTATGGCAATGCGATGGGTTGAATCATTCAGTACCATTCTATTGTGCCAGTTTCGTTTTCCAAATGATCTGTAAATAGTTATTATCTGCAATAAAGCAGCCAGTGGCTGGATGGCTTAAGAGGTGATAGAGGAACTGAAAGCAATAAGAAATGAATTAAACTAAAAGAGTTATTATATATAAGAACTATATGTGTGCTAGTGAAAACAATCTAATGCTGCCTACGTGGTACCCTGTAAATATGTTTAGATTGCATTTCTCAGAATTCCCAGTGAGCTCGTTCAGGATTTGGTGTATTCCCAGGTTAGGAAAAGGCACCTCAAAGTATTCATTAAGGATGTTGTAATAAGCCTTAGGCATTCCACTTCTGATATGATATTGAAGGTGAAGGTTAATGCAGAACAGCTGCAACAGCGCACTCTAGGTATGCCAAACATTTTAGCAGCCTTTGAAATTTTTCAGAAATCACATCGTTTGCATACTAAATGTTTTCACATACAGCTATTAAGGAAGTGAAAATAAGTTTCCCAAACAATAAGCACTATTCCCATCAGTACTAGGTAATATTACTGTATATATTATTATAAATGTTATGTAAATATTATGGTTCATCGCATAGTGAGCCAGATGTTCAGATTCAATCTGGCATTTTTGTCTACACATCAAGTCCTTTCTATTATAATAATATGAACACTTATGGGGAAAAAAATCTGTTGTTATATCAATAATGATTGGAGTCCTTGGGGCAATACCTAAAGGACTTTCTTGATTATCTGGAAATATTGAATTTATCATACTTGAACATCCTAATTTTACAAAAAGCCTCCTTGCTTGGAACTACCTATATTCTTAGATACTACGTACCTTAATAATTTTTAGGTCCTTGGTAAGGACTTCAAATCTTTATCAATGTTGCATGTTGGTGTCCATGGTAACAACAATTGGATTTGAGAGGTATTTTAGTTTGTGTGTTTTGGGATGTCCAAAGATGTGTGGGAGGAGGGACACAGAAATAAACAACATCTACATACCATTCAAAAGAGAAAATCAAAAAGCCAAAAAAGACACAAAAATATCAAAATATCTCCCCACCAGCAATCAACACTCAGATGAGTAGAGATTAACACCAAGATAAACATTAGACCAACAATCAATACCCCTCTACAATACTCCAGTCAAGGAACTACCAACTCAGACAAACAAGCAAACAGTAAATAACAGCCTATTGAAGGGACCACCAAGATCACTCCTACCAACACTGATAGCAAGCTAGTAATATATAAAATGAGAACAAACCCCACTCCCTACTCACACTGATGATGTTACCTAGTTTGGTAATGAAATGTCTGCAAGAAAACAACTAAGGCCAAAGAGCACCAAGGATCCCATAAATTTTACAAATAACTAATATCTTCTCCATTTTGATTTCAATGTATCCGAAATAAATCTTGAATAATTTAGAGGAAAAGGACTGAAGAGTAAATTGGTTCCTCTGCTGCGCAGATTATTTCATGCTTGCATCATGGTTTAATTAAGAAATTTCTAATTAAAATGTTCCCTATGAACAGGAGTGCTGATACAGTGTTATGTTTCATAAAAGATTTGCTAAGTTTGGTATTTCTGGGTTTTCGATAAGAGGATCCAAACCAACAACCTTTTTTCTTTTCCAAGGGTTGGTCTGAAGAGGGAACCCCTTGTCAGAAGGACTAAGGCAGCAGTTACCAACCAATGGTTCATGAGAAAATTTTAGTGGTCTGCAGAAAAATTATTTGCATTTTTATACTGCACTAAATACTATTTATCTTTTTTTTAAAATCATATTAATGGTCAGCGGGATTTAAAAGTATGAATTTAGTGGTCCCTGAGGTCTGAAAGATTGGTGATCCCTGGGCTAAGAGCTCCCACCTAGGCAGATTAGGGAGTATCAGGAGATCCTGATGGCATTATACCATAGGCATCTTTCTTGGGGAAACTTTTGGTAGAAGACTTTAACCAGTGAGTCTTTAAATTATTCCCTCTCCTATAAGAATATGAGTATGATTATGCAATTTAATGAAGTGATGGTGATAATAATACTGTTTCCCTGAAAATAAGACCTCCCTGGATAATAAGCCCAATTGGGCTTTTGAGCGCATGTGCTAAAATAACTCCTCCCCTGAAAATAACCCCTCCCTGAAAATATTGCAACACAGCAGCAGNGTTCCAACCGAACCGGTTGGAACGGGGCGAGAAACCCACCCCTGGATTATATGTAAGCCACACCATACTAACTGGGTTCAGAAGCTACATAGAACCATTCTGTGGTTGGTTTGAATTTTGTTGTTAAGCTTCAGAAATTCTAGTTTATGTCTTATCACACTGTTTCTCAACCTTGGCAGTTTGAAGATGTGGGGACTTCAACTCCCAGAATTCCCCAGCCAGCAATGTGTGGACTTCAACTCCGAGAATTCTGGGAGTTGAAGTCCATACATCTTCAAACTGCCAAGGGTGAGAAACATTGTCTTATCATATTGCACCAAGAGCTATGGCTTATTGAATAAACATACTGTAACATAGAATGCTAAGCACAAAGCCATTCACTGTCATTATGACTCATTGTGATATTCTGAAATGTGTCAGGGTTTTTATTTTTGCTTGTGTCAATAGGGTTTCTTGGGCTTTAGTTCATCAAGACAAGTTTCTGAATCAGCCCAATATTGTCCTCTAATGTATTTTAGCAGTGACAAACCAGGTTTCCCTTGAAGTTTACTAGCAGAATATTAATATATTATTATAACAGGCATTTATCACAATATCTGATATATTGAGGTATTTTGCCCATGGGCATGGACATTCCATTGAACCATTAATGGGTAATGATTAATTGCTTCTAGTTTCCCCTACTTCTGAAATATATAAATAAACAAACCTAATTAGGTTACAGGGTGAAAAATCTGAAAATTTTAGCGCTTAACCTTTGTTTTGTTTTACTTTGTTAAACAATACTCAAGAATGAAAACAATATTTTCCTTATATTTTTTAAAGCAACATCAAATTAAACAGAAAAAGCATGTGTGTATATTATCATAACAGTTCAGAGGCTGGCAAAACCATTGTGTACAGTAGTTTTTCCAGCTGCTCTGTGTTTGATATGCAACATGGACCTTGTAATGTTTCCATTTTCTTGTTTCTGCCATCTGTAGAGAATTGAAGGAAAAGAGTAACTTGATCTTCCCAATCAGGAGAGAAATTCACAAGTAGGACAGGCATCAAAATGTTCCTCTGTAGAATACAATGCTTTCTATTGAGATTGATCCTTCTCTCCTTGTTTCCAAGTTTCTACCTGACAGAATTCTTTGGCTGCGAAGTACACCTAGGCCTCACTTGACTGTCTCTCTTTTATTTCAATCTCAAATCATATTTATATTTCAGTAGACTTTGGAGTTCCTAATTCCTGTTGTGTGTGTGTATGCTCTGAGGGTGACTTTTCAGCTCTGTGAGCAATGACGCTAGCAACATGAATAACAGAAGCAAATGTAGTCTAGAAGAATTTGAATAGATCTTTAAATGGTTTTGCGTTTTCTTAAATCACTTTTTGTGGCTGTAGGTAGTTCCAGATAGTGTCACACAGGTAGTAGACAACCTATGCTCATCCATTAATAAAAAAAATTAGATTTTAAAATCTAGATTAATATTTGAGTTGGCATAGGTGTATTTGTGAGTGAAAATGCATACAAGAGAGAGGCTGTGTTTGAATTCTTTGTTTGGAAAGAATTGGTGTCTCTTATCTCCTAAAAAACCTGATGTGATTCAGAATATTCTGGGAGCAGGGAAGAGGGAGTAGTAGTGAATAATTATGCCCATTTCCTGACAGAATAGGACACTCAAAGACTGACTGACTGACTATGCCCATTATGGCAGCCATTTTAGAGATGGTCTGTATCATGTTCTTAATTTTTCAAATGTGCCCACTAGCTTAGACGCTGGAGCAGCACTCTTTTATCCTGAATGTGATTAAAGGAATCATTTGCCTTTGGTAGTTTTTTGTTTCCCCATTGGACTTATTTCTGCTAGAATTGGGAAGAGGGACAAAAATCATTTGAGGGAAAACTGGCAGTAATGAAATGACACATTGGAGAAAGAAAGAGTAAGAGGTAGGTCCTCTTACTTACACAATAACCTTACTTAACTGTACTCTTGTAATATTCATTCATGTGTTGGATTTGTATCTAGAAAGCCAAGAAGACAGATAGGCAGATAAGAGAAACACTCCCTCCTACATTTTCCCCCTGACATCCTCATGAGTTAGGTTGGGCTAATTAATAATTGCCTTAAATTCACTTAGCCAAAGAACCAAGCAGATAGCTTGTCCACCATTCCCTTCTCATTTTGTTGATAGCCTTATCTTCCACAAATTCATCTGTTCATTTTTTGAGTGGTCCTTGTTGGTGACTATCATAGCATTCTGCGATATGAATCCTATAAATTAATTATATATTCCTCCTGTGTTTGTTGTGATTTGATCTCATAACAATGCAGCCCTTTCTTTATTTGTACCTAACTACAATTAAGACAAGCCCTGATAGGGTCTTGTTTTGAATGTTTCTCCATGAAGTTGCCTTCACCTTGTTTTCAACCCTTACTTGAGGCAACTTAAACTTATCTTCAGCTGTTCTGGTATTAATATTTTCCATCTTAAGGAGTCAACAACTGTAGCAGTTTTGCCATCTGTACAATCTGTTGTTCCCACTATTTTGTTTGCGACAATAGTAGAGGTGTTTGTAGTATGGTGTGGAATCACCCTAACATTTATTAGCCACTTCAGGTTTGTGCTGGTATGAACCCGCCTGTCCAGTTCTCAGGCACAGTCTTTCAAGTATAGTCTACTTTGAGGAACAGGAAAAGTTCATTTTTCAAACTACTCCCCCCTTCATCAATGAAGTTTCCAAACGGATCCCTCAATCAGCAAATGCAGCATCTGCCTAAATTTTATGAAGGGGAAACTATGCAATGAAGTAGGAAAAAAGTGTGCCTGCTAGTGCAATTCTCTCACTAGGTCTGTCACCTGTTGCTCAGGCTAATATTGACCATAGGTTGAATGATCTCCCAGAAGAGTGATAAATCTTATGTTCAGAAGCAATCAGAACAAAGGCTTACAAGCAGGTGAAAGTTTTGTGGCGAGAAGGTAGACACACACACAGAAGAAACTTGTATAATAACCTTGACCTTGCCTGTCAATAGCTGTTCAGTCTGTCATTTATGTGGACTTATCCAAGCCTTGGGCTATCTCAGAGATCTGATAGGATAGGGGAAGAGTCTCTTCTCTCCTTCCATCTGCCACATTCTGAGCCCAGGGAGCTGATCCCCAGATTAGCATAGGTGTCAAATGAAGGGAAATGATTTCCTACAATGGATGAAATCCCAGGTTTCGCCATCTGTCAAAACCTGTCAGAGCAGTGCTGTGATTGGTAGATAGTTCTCCTACCAGATGTTGATGTTAGAAACTGGGAGGAGGGAGCAGGACATCCTTCTCCGCACAGGAAATGAGGACAATATTCTCCAGTTACTTGCCAGAACAAAATCTACTAGGATTGGCAGCGGGAACAGTGCTGATTAAGATCTCGCTGATTCCAACTGGCAGAGGAGTATTTAACTGAGCTATGGGGGACACCCTACACTTTTAAAAAACTATACCTTTACTTTGCTGATGCATCCAATTTACAAATTGTTTACATGATCAGTTCAGAGAGTGGTTTTGCCCTGAAAAGCTTTTACTAGGAATGAATAGCCAGTGTAACGTAGTGTTCAACTTCAGTCAATCAAATAGACTTGCAGGCATGTCAGTTGCAACGTTGACTCCTGAACCAAGGAATAGGACTAGGTGGGGGCAGAGCTTTAGTTCCATCCTTAAGGATGGAAGCTTATTGTTGGCGACTTGGAGTCTTTTACCCAGCTATTGTCTCACATACCATGGAGATTGTGGGGAAACACTAGAAAAGGAATGTAATTCTGATTACCCTGTACTCATGGATGAACCTTTTAGTCCTGAGGATGATGTAGACACAAGAGGCTGTATAAGTTACATTCAAAATGGAATCTTTATTCCACCCAAATAAAAAATGTTGCGTGCTAGATGTTTTAGGTCACTTATTTGACTACAAACTTCATTGAATACTGAAGCTCTTATATCCCTAAAAAATATGCCTAGATGGGTAACTATGGTACTATTGGAATTGTTTGGAATCTATATAACAATGCAATCCAGTCCAGGAATCTTATCTACAAGTAAGGTAGGTAGGTTTTACATTCTAAGACTAACTTCTGGATATTTTGTCTAAAAGCTGTTGAACTGAGACAAAGAAAGAATGCAAGCTGTACCGAAGTTGAAGAAAAGACTCTCAAAGAAAACAACGAAAAAGGCAAACAATCCAAAAGATCCCTAAGATGTGAGTTATTTCATTTTTCTGTCAGTGTTTTAATTCTATGTATATGTATATGTATATTTTTCGTAGATTTTCACGGGTACAGGTATGCAGGTTTTGGTATATTTGGGTCTTTTCCTGTGTGAGATTGAGAGTATCTTGGCGGCATTTCTACGAGGTCCCATTTGAGGCCGAAGACACCAGCCTGAAGATGACGAGTGGGACCTCGTCGAAACGCTGCCAAGATACTCTCAATCTCACACGGGAAAAGACCCGAATACACCAAAACCTGCATTTGTATGTATGTATGTATGTATGTATGTATGTATGTATGTATGTATGTATGTACGTACGTACATACATACATACATATGATTGTTTTTAAGGAATTAGATTTAGAAATATGTTTCTATGTAGAATGGATAAGAAATCTTTATTCTGAAAAAAGATGTGAGTTAAAGTGTGCCATATATTTATTTAACTTTGTACACAAGCCTGTCAAAAGTGATCAGTCTTCAAAACTAAAAGCAGCTTTGAGGTTATGAATCTATATTTTACAGTCAACATAGAATAATTACTAAACTTTTTGG